AGCCTTTAAAATTCAAAGCTCGCGCACTTTGGATCGAAAGAACACTTTGGCGTTTGCGACAAAAGTTGTGCCCATGCTCCATCACCCCCCTTCCATCTTTGACGCCACGATGGAGTTATTCAAAGACCAGGCTCAAGGTGTAAGCGACAATCCCGCCATTAATGCCGACACCATTCTATCGACGCGCCAGTTGCTTGCTGTACTTCGTTTTGGACGCTTCTTTAGAGAGTTGGGTGGGTAGTGGATAGGTTAAAGAAGAAAGAACTGTAAGAAAACTTTGTGGGAGAAATATGCTGTTGAACGTGCAGGCAAACGCCCTGTTCAGGATACCTACGAAACGCAGATTGACTACATGCGACAAATAGGCCGACAGGCATTCCAAATTTCTGTAACTTCACCATATCAGCTCTATGCGCGCGCCCTGCACGTAGGACAGGTAGGACAGCCTTGCTATGGCGAAAAATCTACTTGCAGCGTGTTCCGAGCGGTCCTGTATCCGTTTACTCGCCCACCAACAGCTATTACGGTCTAAATTACTTTTTCCAAATCGAAAGCCAGTACGTTAGCTTGGCAAATGCGATGAATACCACAGTGGCCAAGTAATTAGTTCCCGCGTTTCCACCCACTCCGTCCTAGGTCCATCCGAGCTGCTGCAGGCCTTTGCGACCGATACAAGCGGCCAGGCCGTTGCTCTAATCTTCACTAACAGGTGGGAGTTTTGGATAAACAGATAAGATTCGCTTTAAGCGACCAATCAGCCGTAGATGCGGTGCAACCGGTGTCTGCAAATAATTTATTCATCTACGGACACGCATTCTCAGGTTTTGGCTTCAGGTTACCTAATCAGCAGAGGGCTTTTTTACCAGGAGAGGTTTTTGAGTGACAATCGAGTTTGCGTACGGAGCAAGCGTAGCTTGTGCAGATTTTGCGCTGGTTGCGACGTTAATTTCTATTTATTTTTATACGAAAAGAGTATAAAATTTTGTAGATCCAAACAAAGTTGTGAACCGTTTCAGGGTGGAAAAGGCAAAATTTTGCCGAAATTGAGAATTTTTGGGACTTTTCCGCACTTCTAACTTTCATAGCTTCTTGAATCGGATCGTTTCCCAGTTTTTGAAAACAGGTTTGAAATCAGCACTAAATTCTACTGCCCAAGTTATAGGTTGGCGTGCGTACGAAAAATTCACTTTGTGGCTCAAATACGTCTCCTTGTTAGCGCCCGGATTTTCTCTTCTTTTCCTGTATATAGAAAGGGAGAACGAGGCTGTTCCATTGTCCTAAAAGGCCATCCGTTCCAGGTGCTAACCTCAAACGCATTGCGTACCCTGTCGGTTTGGCCCTCACGCAAACCATGCCGAAGGCGATAGACGAGTACTGTCGGTCTTCCCCCCGACCACTCTGACAACCCCACCTTCCCTCGGGGAAGACTTTCCCTACCCAACCGCACCCGGGACCCCTTTTTGGAAACAGACCGCGCTGAGTGCGGCATCGCCTTCTACTTCGACGGTTCTAAAGAGGGTTGGGTGAGCTCGCGTATATTCATACTATCCGAAACTGAATCTGCTATTTCAGCCACATTTTGAGCTGCAACATCGGTTGATGGCATCCGCCATGGCAACAATGTTTGAGGCTATGCAGGATGCACGTTTTCTATTTGCCGGCAGGGCCGGGGTTATCGGTCAGGTGGGTCTGCACTCTAAGCTAGTATTCTGAACTAGGTGGGGTTCGTTCCGCCAGATTTTCATACGGCTGGCAATACACACTCATATGCAGACTGGGCGCGTGGATTCAGGAGCATAAGCGAAAACGCTACGGAGTCTGGTGCACGAGACCAAACGCTTGCCAAGTGCGACAAATTTCTCTTCCAGTTGGTTTTCTAGCATTATCGCGTATTTTCAAAGCGAAAAGAATTACTGGGGATATGACGCGAGGTTCTTCTTCTTCAGTAACAGGTAACACTCACATGACGCAGCAATTCTTCTAGTCCTCAAGCTGAAATAGACGCGATCTCGGATATTAGTTTTCGGGAAAACTTGTATGGATACAATTTACAAGGTCAGTTACAATGCAAAAGCCTTCAAGATGCGAGCTTTCGAAGCAAAACTGCAACCACCCTGGTTTCAGGCGCAGATATGAGCCGGATCGCAAAGCCGCTAACTTTTCCGCTAGATGATGAATGGATGTCAGAGTTCCGGGACTCTTGCACGGTATTTTGGCAGGCTCCGGTTTGAGAAAGCGAGCTTGTCTGGAATAAACTAGCGCACTGCCCGAGAGTCTCGGGCCGAGACTGGGATGCCAAAAACCAAAACCAAGTTTTGCAAAAAATGTCTCATTACCATTTTCAGACACCGATTGCATAACGTCAGATGCCACCGTCACAGAATAACAGCAACCCGCACGGCATCGGCTATCAATAAAGTTTTCGTACAGCTGTAAATCCAACAGTTTCACATTTTTCATTCATCGTCATTTTTTTTGGCAGGCCGACGATTGATGCTATTCAAGAATTTGGTCGATCGATGCGTGTTTTTCTCACCTGCAAGCAGCAGAGTGATTCTCGCACGAGAAGCCGTCATGAACGTGAAGCGCCCCAGGGGGTTTAGAATACGGGTCTCTCTCGACCTATGGCCGCTCGCTAATCAGCCTTGCTATCCACAACCTGAGCGCGACAAGTTCCTGAATGACGCCGATGCTTCAAAACGCGCCTATTTTTTTTATTTTCGCGGTGCACTTATTTCAATACTCCGTTGCAATAGAAGCTTCGCTAAAACAGAAATGCCAAGTGTTGCTGGTGGCTGACGTTACGGATGCCGCTCCGGTAGGTATCACATGTTACAACTCGGCCTTTCGAACTTTTCGAATCAATTCTAGCATATTTTTGCGGGCTGTTGACACAAACCAGTTACTGAAAAATAAACGGTTGCACTGACTTCAGTTTTGCTTCTAGCAATCCGAGGCTCCGACCCTTATGGCGACCATGGTCGACTTATACACGGGAGCTGGGGCAAATGGAATCAATGTCTCAATGGCATTCTGGAGGTATAGTCGTGGTGGAGCATTCGACGGCCCCATTCCGACGATCTTCTATTATGACATGAACGCGGTCCCAGTGCATTTCGGAGTGCAGGGTGGCCATCTCGACATCATCTAGTTGGTCTCATGCTTTTGAACTGATCGTTTAGCACAGTGCAACCGAAGCGTTAAGCAGCTGGACTGTAAAAGATGCGGTTATTGTACTTTTTACTGGAAGGTAGGATGCATGGTCCCCAGGCGATTTTTGCAGCAATAAGGTTTCAATCGATATAGATTTATCACTCTACCATTTTCACCCTTTATTTGCTTGTAAAACACGCAGCTTGCAGCGACGCGGGCAAGTTTGCCGCCGCTGGTCGCATGTATTGCCGATGTAATGAATAAACTTTTCCCGTACGTTGCAAGAAATTGTCGATCGTTCCCTTAGCATTGATAGTGGTTGGGGGGAAAACAGTGCTACCATCGAGAGATCATTTTTGGATTCCGTGGTGCGTAAGTTATAGGTTTTAAACTTCCTGGTATTAAAGGGGCTACGAAATGCCAAAAATTGAGTGACGGCCCGAAAATCGGAGCCCTGTACGTCGGAGGCCTCTGTACGCCCAGGGGCCGGGACGCTCGCAAAATTTGAAATTGCCTGTTGTCACCTCGAAATCACGTTCTCGGCTGTTTCTGGGCCAAATTTGATGACTAAAACACCAAAGCTTTTTAAAATTGAGTGAGGATTTCAAAAATGGGCTCAGAATGCGCGAATTATAGTGTTTTCCCAAAGAAACCGGGCAAAAACAACTTCGCGCAAAAATCGAAAGGGTGAGGGCTCTTGTCCCGCAGCGCCCGCTGGCAATTTGCCAGAAATCAAAGAGCCCTCCCAAAAGGGCTTTGATTTGGCAGTTCGGAGCCCCTTTAAGGAATAAGATACGACGGCGAGGATTTCAAATCAAAACAAATTCATGCAATAGAATGTAGTGGTATGGAATCTAGTGTACTTTCGCGATATTTGTTTTGCGTGGTAGGCTGAGCTGTCGACCGATGCATTTTTTCTCTGAGTTTCTCCAGAAAGAAAACCTGAGTTTTAGGACCCTGGATAAGTGGTCGAGATCGAGATTTTCCCACGACGTATGCAAACATAAATGGTAATTTTTGCGCGTCATTTGTCTTTGCACATTTATTCAACTGTATTACGGTTGATTCGTCTGTTGTTATGACTAATCCGAAGAACTATTTATTCAATGGAGCACCACGGATAATTCCTTGGTCCGTAGGGTGATGCAATGTGAATTCCGATGACACTCCCGAAAATGGGATCCCCGAAACTTGGTTTCCCAGGAAACTCAGGTCCGAGAAATCGGAGTCCCGAAAATGTGAGTCCCGAAATCTGAGTCCCGAAAATTCTGACTCCCGAAAATCGGAGTCCCGAAAATACCCGCAGTGATTTGGGTTTTTTTGGGGCCGGAAGCCTAAAAACCAGTAGCCAAATTCGATTCAGGATTTTCGGAGTCGATTTTCGGGAGTCAGACTTTCGGGAGTCAGATTTTTGGACTCGGAATTTTTCGGGAATCCAGGGGATTTCGGGCTCCGATTTTCGGGGCTCCGGGAACCAATTTCGGGAATCAGATTTTCGGAAGTATAAGCAAACCCCGGTTGATTCGTCTGTTGTTATGACTAATCCGAAGAACTATTTATTCAATGGATCACCACCAGGGCCGTAACAAACCCAAATTTCGGGGGGGGGGCGACCCCAAAAATTTTTCACTAATATGACTAAAACTACAGCGCCGCAGGCAAAATTTTTGAAAAAATAGGGTTTATAACACTAAAACTAGTGTTAAAAATAGCCCAAAAACAGCGCCGCAGGTACCAAAAATTTTTGGAAAAATGAAATCCTTAAGGGTCCCCCTTATGAACTTTCGGCCTTCGCCGATTTGTTCAGGGGGGCGGCTCGCCCCTCGCCCCTCTTACGGGCCTGATCACCACGGATAATTCCTTGGTCCGTAGGGTGATGCAATGTGAAGATCCGGGATTTGGTAGTTGTAGTTGTACGGGCTATAGGACCAGGTGTTCAAAGCATATCCAACCGGGTAGCGGTATCCATAGCCATAGTAGTTATATTGACGCTTTGCCCGGAGCAGCGGTCGTTCGGGGGCTAAAAGTGAGAGGTATACTCGTAACGAAAAGGTAAAGAAATCCGGATAGATTCAAAGTTAATTGACGCTAATTCTTAAAAAATAGAGCGGCAGGCGCCGAATTTTTGAAATCACTTAATTTTACGGGCTTTTGGCTCTCTGGCGCATTAATGGTAGGTGCTTATAAAAATGGCAAATATTAGCGT